ATAGGACCACTATGACCTCTGTCAAGGAACTTAACCCTAAGTTCCTCTTATTTGTGAAGAAGGTGCGAATCAATAACTACTAAGATCATTTATCGAATTTAACACCAAAACAACAGTATTTGTATTAACTTATATTGTTCAACAATTAAAATCGAAAATAATACAGAAGTCTATAAACAAATGTTTTATAATGAAGGCACCAGCACTTTTATTCGTATTCTCTCATCTTCTTCCAACTTGTACACGATTGAATCACTCGCGCCATCGAGTTGCCTGGCAGTGGCTACCAAGGTCAATGAACCAACGTTCTATGTTCACATTCCCCGACAAAAAAGGGTCTATCCCTTTTTCCATCATGGCGATAACCTTGAACTGAACTGCCAACGCGGAAACCTGAGCCCACCGGGACTAGGCTAAAATACAAAAGCAAGACAAAAAATCCCAAGACACAACAAGCATACCACATCACACCAGTAAGCTCTACCCGGCGTGTGGAATCTTCCTCAGTGATCGGAACTTTCCTTCGCTCTCCATCGACAGTACCACCACTGATCTGGTCCACAGGGTGTTGGTTGCTTCATGTCACTTTGACACAATCCCCTCCCCGGCGTATCAAATCGCATACACTGACTCTAACACTGCCCGATTCGTTCACAAGTTTAGAAGACTAGAAATGACTTCAGAAGTACTTACAATAACATTAGTTGATTCACACAATGCAACGACTATAAAATTAACCAACACAAATGTGTACAATCAATACATCAAATATTGTGGATTCTGCCATGACGAGCTGCCCTTGAAGAACTGTAGGACCTACAGCAGTACGCCTACATTCCTTCTCAGGTTGATGATACAAGTGGAAAGACGTCCGGACACAAACAAAATTACCAACAGATAGATGAAAGATGATACCAATTCAGTATATACAACATGAACATATGTACAAAACAACACACCAAGTACGATGAACTGCGCTTCGATGTACTACCCTTAAAGAATTGTAGGACTTACAGCAGTACGCCTGCAACCCTTCTCAGGTTGACACCCTAGGTTGGAAAATCGTCGCAGAGTTTATTTGTTGACCTCCTTCTATCATCCATATCCTCAACTCTGAACAGTGACACGCCCATGTCATTGTATCCTAGAATATAGATGACTAACAAACATACGATGTATCTGACCAACCAAGCGTAGGCACAGAGTAATTTACACCAAAGACAATAACATTCATTTAGTACCTTGAAACCTGAAAGGCCTTTATTCGTGCAAGTCAGTTTAACAATTACCCTCTCATACACAGTTGGATTATCGTTACTAAACTGACCATTGACCTTCGTCCTTTCAAAAGGACCGATACTAGCATAATCACAGCATAAGACACGTGAGTTCATGGGTGTCCCTTTTCATTGTGGATGACCACACCAACAACGACTGACTGATAAAAGTTGATGAGTCAACGTTCAATGTTCACATTCCTTCACAACCTCTGTTTATGAAATGAGGTGAAAATTTCATTCCGATCTCGCTTTTTTATGTACTGTGTAGGAAAGCTATTAAATAGCTCGTTCATGTGACAGTTATGATTAAGTCTAGGTTCGAGATTATAATCAGAGTTAAGGTTAGCGTCAGAGGCAAAGTTAAAGTATCATAACCGAAGTCAAAGTCTGTCGAAAGTTGACCTCCAGAGATTGATCAGACACAGGGAATGCTATGAAATGTCATTCCGAATAAAATTATGTCTGCCTTTTTCGAATTCAAGAGGATAGATACAGTATTCTGCTTATTTACTTGGTGCTTTTCCTGAAAATCTGCACTGTTAGATACGGTTATGGCTTTTAAGACTAAGGTTTAGGGTTAAAGTTAAGATTAGGTGTTAGAAGGAGGTTAAAGAATAGTGTCAGAAATATCAATCGATCTCAAAGTACTATGAGCTGCAGTTGGACAGAACTGTGCTCTAGAACTGTCTGTTAGACAGAGGTATACCTGAGAAATTCGTTAACATCTTGAAAGCCCTATACAGAAACACCTCAGGTAGATTGAGGGCTGTTATGTACTCGTCGAGTAGTTAATAGTCCTGAAGCGGAAAGAGGGAAATCAGAAGACCACTAGGTTTACGATGATACTTGTATTTTCCAGACAAGGAAAATAAATGTCACACAAGAGTGTGAGTGAAATGGTACGAGTGTACGAAAAAGTGTGTGAACAAGAATCCAGTACAAAAGTATATATGGAAATGACTAATACACATGAACCAATAGGACAGTCTTAACATGATTGGTTGTAATATCATATGACAACAAGGTCATACATGTTTATTTAGTTAGTGGACAGACAGAAGTTATAATGAAATATCGATCCATATACAAATAGCAAAATATAATAGACTGTCAAAAACAAAACACACATTATGTAGATACATATCAAGGACATACAACCATCTATCAGCACTGTTCCCAACCAACAATGGCGTTAGACAGGGTTGCCCAATCTCTCCATTTCTCTTTAACTTTGCCATCGATGACATTCTGCAGTCAGCTCTGAAGGATGTGCGTGAAGGTGGTGTAGATCTGCTACCTGGAGATAGACTTTTCGACCTCGAGTATGCAGACGATATCGTCTTACTGTGCGATAGCATGCAGGCTGCCCAAATCAGTTGGCGATCAGTGTTTATAAGTATGGTATGTGGTTTGCGCCGTCTGAGTGCAAAGTACTGTTACTATTACTGGAAGGAGCCTGTACCTGCACTCACTCTTGGGGGTGAACCGCTTGAAGTTGTTGATAAGTTTGTGTATCTGGGTAGTTGTATGAGTGCTGGCGGAGGAGTGATGGATGAGATTTCCAACCGTATAATGAAGGCTAGGGTGGCATACATCAACTTGGACCACCTATGGCGCCGTCGCGATGTTAGCCTTGCTGTCAATGCTTCGGTGCGGGCTGCCCTGCTCTACGTCTGTGAAACCTGGTCTCTCCGAGTAGGCTGAGGATGTGTGGCGATTCTGCGTGTTCGATCACCGCTGTCTCCACAGGATCGCCTGCGTTCGGTGGCATCATCGCGTAAGTAATCCTGAGGTTCGGCGGCGTGTGTTTGAACACAGTGGAGATCACCATTCATTGAGTGTCGTCATCTGAAAACACCGGCTTTGGTGGCTTGGACATGTGCTGCGAATGTCATCGCGGAGGCTTCCGTACAGGTCTCTGTTCGTTAATCGGCCGTGGGACGGGATGGAAAAGGCGGAGGGGTGGTCAGTCCATGACGTGGCGTCGTGGGATGAAGGGTGTTTGTGCTAGATTAGCATCAGTTAGTGCGTCACGACGCCTTGGTTGGGGTCCGCGAGATAGCGTGAATCGATGGCTGAAAACGTTATTGGATATGGCCAAGAATCGTAATCAATGCCGAACGTGTTGCAATTTCCTTTTTTCTTCCCTTCCCGATGATAGTTAACGAATACTGTTTGAACTCGTTAAGCATGACTGTTTTCCTTCCAGATGAAGTTCTTTATCCGTTGTCTACTTATATTTTTTTAAACTTTTGATCTATGTTATTTTATTATTATTGTGTGGCGCATGTTTCTTGGTGCCATATTGTACCAAGTTTTTTATGCGTTTAAACAGATAAATAAATGAGCTACAGTCACCTGGATGAATGGGTACATCGCACATGGTACGATTTCTCCATATATCATCTGTGTATTGACCGTGAAACATTATTACAACACATAAGCTGAAACTATACAGTGTTATATCATGTTTGCCAATGGCTTTTAGTGTATTTTTCAGCTATTATACAACTTTTTGTATCTGGTTGCTTGTTCAAAGTCACTGAGGTTTTGGCTATTCTAGTTTAACTTTTCCGTAATTTCAGTATCCATTTTGTGTTCCGTGTGATATGAGATTCTTTCAGCCATAACTCATTGCAGCACTCCCACCTTAAGGAAATTTGAAGAAAGATATCTCATGGACGCGTCTTCCAACAGAATGGATATCTACGGAATTTCATCAAGAGACATATACCCCCAGGCCAACCTATCTAACCAAAAGTCCACAAGGAAAGCACAAAGAAAATCGCCTTACCATATATAAAGGATATCTCAGAAATCACTACAAGACTCTTCAAACCTTTAGGGATTGACGTCGTACACAAACCGAAAAAAAACTTCACTCAGCTGGCTCTATGTAAACAAAAAGACTCAACAACGAGAGAAGATAAAACCAACACCATCTACAAAATAAACTGCAAATATAAACAACTACAAAAAAACACTACACTGGCCAAAGTGGACAACATCCCCTTCGTCTTCGTATCCACGAACATAAGCTAGCCGTCGAAAGACATGATATCCACTCCATCATATCGCCACAATACATACAGACAACCACGGACATCAACTCGACTGGGACAACCAGCGTTCAAATATTAGACAGAGGAAACACAATGAATACTAAAGAATTTGTAGAAGCCAGTTTGGTATTCCTGTGAATCATCAATAGATATATCGAGATAGACAAAATTTATCAACCGATAAGAAAGAAACCTCAAAGAAACAATCAGCTCTGATACAAGTAGCCGCCTAGAGGGTGTGAAAACACACAAAAACAACCAACCACCTTCAAAGTCATTCGCCAGGAGAGATGATTGATAAACTCGTGGAGAAATCTAAAAGCTTACTTCATCAAATTCAAGTATGCACTGAAGATGTTTCCTAGTGGTGGGGCGATGAAAGCTTCGCTAGCTGAAAGAATACAACCACATCAAAAGTCGTCTTGAGTTACTTAAGGGATGTACTTTTAAGTCAAGATTCTGGTTTTGAACCTCAGTAGGTGTGTGCTGATGAAGAGTCCCAAACTAGACTGACGAGACAGTTGTCCAGTACTCCCTGTCGGCTTTCTAATGGTCCTCTATCCAATATCAGTCAGTTCATAATGAAATCCTGTAACCAATTAACCAAATCCGTACAAACCGACACTGAATAATGAAGTCGTTGAAAAGAAACTTTGTTTTATCAAACTGAACAACCGAACTGCGTTTTACTTTATTAAAACAAAAGTCTATTCAATGAATTTTACATTACAAAATTTGTTTTTATATAATTTAACGTGAAATACATGAAATGATACACCACAGACACCCGTGAATATATAAATTTTGTCAACTTATGCATTATATCAAAAACAAAAATTAAGCAGGTTAGAAAATAAGCACCATATAATAGAGAACATAATTCAAATTTAAAAAACGCGCCTCCGAAGAAGATTATTTAAACAAAACAGCATGGAATGAAAAATTTGAGTGTATAACAGAGTAAAACAAAGAAAACAGGTGTAATTACATTCCTTGTGCATCTAAATAATCTCTCATTTCAAGTAATAATTGTTTAGATTCTTTTATTTTATGCTCAGCAACATAGATACTAATAAGTATTGAATTCTTTGTCAATAGGCCGGCTAATTCATACTTGCTAGCAGTATTAGTATGTTCATTTGCATTTGGTATGGTGTAATACTGGATTACATCGGCTATCAGTACTCCTGTATCATCTTCTACATCTTTGTACAAGCATTTATCCATACCAATGTCAAAGTGTTTATCTAGAATAACACGATCTGCACGTTCAGCCTGATTGATTCATCCAGACGTCGACGCCAATGACAATATCCAGGTTAGGAATTTATAGAATAAAAGAAAATAGAACAAGAAGACAGTTTATTTTTAAAATAAATTATGAAAGTGTTAATAAATTATTTCTCTTATCACACCCGACATGTTGTACCTCACTGGTCAGTCACGAATTCTCATGAGAAGAAGAAGAAGAAGACTTCTGAACAAGTTCACTCCGTTCCGACTTCTGCTTAATCTAGAATTCAAAGGTGACATCGAAGCAGAAATCCTTCGGTAAACGCCTTTGTAAGTCTCTGAGGAAGACATACTTCGCCGCTAGCCTACGACTAACGTTTTCCTGCAAGAAACTATTCAATCAGAACGCGAAAGATAAGCTTTTGCATTGGGCCACTTCAACGTGCATATACTAGTTTACTTGCTCTTGCGGAGCTGAGTACATCGCCCATAACATGTGCCAACTTGAAAAACGCGCTCGTGAACACTACCCAGCCTGGATATTAAAAGCGGGTATATAGTTGGATTACAGAACTTCTGGTTAATTCAGGATATTCAGCGCCATCCAGGAAATCCTTCAAAATAATATACAAGATTCGATCAAACCTATCAAAGGGAGTAAAATTAAGATATCTGGGCATAGCCGAGGCACTAATCATCCAAAAGCTTAAACTCACGCTATGTATCCAAAATAAATACTTTCAACCCTTGTCCCTGCCGTGGCCATCATAAACAGGTAATTCTTCTAATAGTGACTATCCATCCTATCGCCTTTCTTATCCAAACTTCCTGTTTATTCATGCTATTTTAAGTTTTTCTTAATCCCTATTTACACTACCATATTTTCATATCTGAACTTCCTGTCTATTTTGTCATTTTATTATTTATACATATTTAATCCCTGATCGCATAAACAATTTTTCATCACATTAGTTATGATCTCACTATACTTTTTATCCAAACATCCTGTCTATCGTTGTTTTTTCTATATTTCTAACCCGTAATTGCACAATATATCAATCTTCTCAGTAATTATGATACTACTTTGTCTGAGCTGCACTCGTCCCCCTGTTTATAATGGCATTTTAATTTTCTTCGCTGTAACTGTCTTTTTATTCCCTAATTCTCATTAGAACCAAGGTAACTACCTACCTGATGACATTGGCTAGTGGTCGCGCTATATCGTGAATTGGCAAGATTTGAAATTTATGCTCCGAGAGATCCTGGGTTCGAACCTTGGTGGTGGGTGCGTACTGATGATGACTCCTGAGCTAGGAATAGCTGTCCACTACTCTCTGATGGTTTCCCAATGGTTCTCTGACTGATATCAGCTCATGATGAAACTCTGTAACCAATCAAATTAAATCCTTGCAAACCAACACTTTAATAAATTATTTCATCAAAATAATTATGTCGCTCCACTTCTTTGCTAACGGAAACTGCTGTGCCTCAAGACGCTGTTGTATTCTCTCCAGTTCTTTTCGCCTTCTTTCTGCATGACAATCCATTTTCTTCCAAGGCTAATTTCATTAATAAATATGCTGATGATCTGACCATCTTTGTTCCAGTAATTTCTGAACTGAATAGATTCTTATCTGAAATGGTTTCACCTAAATGGTCTTAAATTAAATCCATCTAAATGTTGTAGTATTGATTCTAGTTTCAGAGATGCCAACAAGACTTTTGTGGACTGCTTATTCAGTCCCATGATCCCAGTAATATTAGTGGCACTGTCACCGGGAGTAAGTAGAATATCTCTTATCTCAGCATCAGGTTTTCTTAGAATCTCTGTTAGTCATCATCTCATATCCTGTTGATTTCTGAGAAATTTTTTTCGTTTGATTAATTACATAAAGAAGTTGAGACTTTCTGCTGGTGTAACTCAGCCTCTTCTATAAAGTTTCGTTAATCCATGTATTCTGTCCGTTCTTCGCTCTTTGTTGTTGTTATGGTTATTGTTTCCTTTAGTTCCTAGAGGAACATAGGGCTTCAGTCGCACTTCTACACTGCGTTCGGTTCTCTGCCAGCGTTTTCACCTGCCTCCATGTCTGCCCATATGCTTTCATCTCCTCTTCGCATGATCTCTTCCCCGTGTTTTCCTCGCACTGACGACCATTTGGGTTCCACTCCAGCGATGACCTGGCGTTTGATATCAATTGGTGATGGTTTGTTTTCTCCGAGTATAGCCAATTCAGTTCACCTCCATTTCTTCCTGGATATTTGTTGCACAATCGGTTCCCCGTTGGTTCGTTCCTTGACAGAGATCCCTGCTGTTCATCTTTTCTGGCTGGCCATCTGATCTTGAGTAGTATTGAAAGAAGACACTTGTTGATGAAGGTTTGTAGTTTGATACACCGAGTCTCTACTCCGTATAGTAAGTAGCACTGACTGTCTTCATATTGGAGTTGGAAATCCGGATCTTATTTTCATTTTCATGCTGAGCAGTGCTCTTGATCTCCACGCAGACTTGAGAGTAATGAAAGCTTGACTTGCTTTCCCGATCCTCTCACTTTGATATCCTCATCAGTTCCGTCCGCCTGTAGTTGAAACGATGCTTCCCAGGTAGGTAGGTTGGTAGAGGAGGTTGTTTCTTTCAGGTTCCTCCATTTATGCTGGCTGACTGTTGTCTGTTGTTGTTGTTGGCCAGGAATCTTCATCAGCTACCTCTGTTTTCTCTATGTTCACCTGAAGGCCTATCGTTGATGCTTCTTCTATTGCCAACTTGTTGCTTTTCAGTCTCATATCTTCCAGTTTGTGGGAGTTAGACACATATCATCGGCGAAGTCCAGATGCTCCAAGTTCTTTGTGTGTGTCCATTTTCAGTTTTTGTAGTTGTATTATTTTTCCAATTCTGTGTATTTCTATGTTTATAAAAGGGAGATAAATTGTTGCAATACATATAAAAACGCGAAAAATTCCATTTTTTTTAATGATTATTATTGTTTGGAATCAGGTGATTATTATTATTATTAATGATGATTACACAAAATATAGTGTGATATGATAATACATCCATGGTAACCTTCAACAAATACCTTCCTCACCCCAGTCAAAACCAAATGTACTTGCTTTGTATGATTAAACCACAGAAAGTCAAAACCGAAGAACAAATTGAAAGCTTGAAAAATGAAACATATTCCATACTACTGTTATTATTTTCTCTCTCTCTCTCTGAAGTTCTCAGTGGAACTTAGGGCCTCAGCAGTAGGAACTCATAGAAGAAGACATTGTGTAGCGTTCAGACTATATCGTGTGAATTGGTAGAAATTAGAATTCATGGACTGGCCATTGGATTGGGTCTCAGTGACTTAGTGGTCCACGAGCTCACTGGCCTTGCAACCAGAATCTCCTGGGTTCGAACCTTGGTGGTGGGTGTGTACTAATGAAGAGCCCCACACTAGGGTGAAACAGTTGTTCAGTACTCCCTGTAGGTTTTCCAATGGTTTTTTAACTGATCCTAAAATATATCGAAATAGAAGTTACACAGTTTTTGAACATACTTTTCTTACAGTGACACTGAGTTACTGATAGAAAGTAGATTCATCTCATTATTCATTTATTGCTTTCTATTCTCAGTGGAACATATGGCTTCGAGCTAGAGCCCGCCCAACCTTCCCTCTTTATCGGGCTTACAGTCGGCTAAGGGGCGTAAATGTGTTCACCGGTCGGCAATCGAACCCTGGACTGCAGGCATGGCTGGCGATTATTCGACCGCTGAACCACTGACACACGATAGAAAGCAGAAACAATTTTGTTCCAAAAGTGATATAATAAATAGACAGATTATTCAGTATTAAAAGAGTAGCTATTTACAGAATTATTATACAAGAAGAGGAGTAGAGTTCAGATTTCATATGAAAAGCAGAAAAGTGTTCTCAAGTGCAATCGACAGACACCTGACTGACGCGAGATATACAGTGGAAATTAATCAAGCTTTTAAAATAATCAATATATTATAAGGAAAAACTCGGTTACTTTATTTAGCAGAAACCACTGCTACCAAAAGATTTTACCCCAACATCTATATACACAAAATGATAGCGTGATAAGTCCCTCACTACCCTGGTAACTGAAGTTGTTTTGTGTTTTTCGTGCATATCTTTGTTTTGTTCTGTGGCTTAACATCCCACTTTATTTTAATTTTCACTTAGTGAGTCGGACTCACTGTAACGTTTGCAAATTTACTTAGATGTATGTATAATTTTATTTGTACATTTCACTCCCATTCCCTTGAAATTTCCATCATACCATGTATAAATAAATTCACTGTGTTATTCGATCTGGTATTCAGTCTGTAGTGTATTCTTGTTTCTAAGTCCCATCTGAGCTTTACTCACAATCCTCTTGTCTAGTTATGCTATGAACAGTTAGGCTTTTAACGCTGAATAACTTGTCTACTCACATCATTTCGGGATTATAATCACATGAGTCATTTTCTTTTTACTGAAATGATTTGAAATTGGAATCTTTCATACCATTCAGTGGAGGAGCCAGGTGCTTCGGTAGCACAACGGTAGAATGCTTGCCAACTGTGCAGGTGGATCGCGGTTCAATCCCCGGCCACTGGTCGCACGCACTCCTCCTTAACCTCACTAAGCCACTAATAAGACTGGTAAAGAGGAAAAGTTGATTGGGCATGAGGCTAGCAAACCCATCACGTAAAATTAAAACACCATTGCTACCGAAACTCCAAAACTCTAGCTTGAAACCAATCTATGCCCCACTAGGAACGTAAAAGAATAAAGTAATAATAATACTACTTTCTTGTATGTATAACTTGATGTGACTATGAGAAAATTATGTTCACGAAGGTTTTGTAACTTATATATTTCGAAATTGTTTAGGATGTAGGCACAGTTGAAAAGACCCCCACGAAATGAGACGATTTCGTACTAGCGTAACAAATAAAAAGTTTGCGATTTTAGCCTGGTGTCCTGCTTCAACCACTATTCTCTACTTCTAGCTGTCTTAATCTTCTAATTATATTTTTAGAATACAATATT